ACTTTTGCTCGATTTTCGGATGTTATAGAAGAGGTTCAGAAATTGTTGTAAACGCGAGGAAAAAAAATTTTTTTTTTCAAAAAGTTATACAACATACAAAATTGAAGGTGTCTCTGGGTAAGTAATTGTTTATAACATTATAACTCGATAAATATCAGTTGTATCGGAAAAATTATAAAGTCTTTTTTTATTGCTAAAGGATGATGGATTCATGTAAAAATTTAATTTTTGCAAAAAAGTGCAATTTGCAACATGTTTGTTAATATTGTGTTACCATTTTTCCAAAAATTAATCATCAGTCTTGTCCTAGCATCATTCGAGAGCGTACCAAGGGGCGAACTCCTCGCGACCACTAGATACCTGATTCCGGAATCAGTCAATTCTCTTGCCCGGCGTTTATCCTAGTAGTCCGAGTATCGGGATCATTTAGATCACAATTACGTAAACCTTTGTAGTGATCAATCCCACGAATAAACTTTAAAATAAAAACTTTTGCGCGAAATCGGCTGACGAAGTGAAAAATTACTCGGTACGGTTCTTGTGAATAGTTTCATGTGTCTTAATTAATTACTTTCAACTAAAAGAATTTTCATACATTATCAGCGAAAAAAAAAGGGTGATTGCACTCAGAAAATAGACCGACACAAGAGTGAGTAACTTGATATCACATTAACCTGGCTTCCCAAAGGAGAATCACATTTAGTATCTCTTTCTCTCAGAATAAGAATATGTTCTTTCCGTTTTTTCTTGAATGCTTGCCAATGAATGTAAATTCGTATATTTTGTAAAAAGAACAATTTTGTTTTGGAAAGAATTCGAGTCTTTTTCTGGTCAAAATAAAGTTATTACTCAAAATAAAAATAATAAGCTGTCTTCTCTAAAATCAATTATATTTGATTATTGAATACACTTGAACCCAATTATATACCCGCAATCCTTTCAATTGACAGATATGTATACCACTTTAAAGATAAGGAATCCACACTAAATAAAAATAATTATTTTATTGCCCGGTCAGGAAAATTGATCGAATATTAAATATCCTCTCAATTTTCCATATCCAACATTAATCAACAATGATATTATTGGCTTCCGGATACGTTTGGCTGACCCCCCCCCCTCCCCTTCCCCCACCATCACAGGGGAAGACATATAAGGACAACCCCCAAACATCGGAGCTCAGAATCGGCGCTCATAGCCCTGAAGATGCAGACTGCAGTGTTTGCGAAACGTCGGCGCAATGCTGAAACCAAACGCGGCATTCATCCGGAAGCCAATAATATCATTAATAATGGCCGCGAAAGCCTCAAAACTAAGATTAATCAACAATATTTTTTTGGCTTCATATGTATACCCTCTCGGGTTTTTGTTCCCTTCCCTATCTGCGTTACCATGGGCCGACTTACTTTATCCTCAACTGCACCTCATTCGGGATTGGACTGCCAGGGAAACCATGGAATACCTCAGTCGTGCATCCGGTCGATAATGCAGGAATTCCACTGTGTCCATTGGTCACACTGACTCAATGGGCACAGTGGTTCTCTACATTCGTGCCTAGCGACTGTAGTCTTACGCGGTTAGGTGTGCCTAAGCGGACACCCATCCAAGTACTGGACAGACTGAACACTGCTTAGCACACACTCCCCGCATGACCACTACAGCCACTAATAAACAATATAAAAAGTTTATAAAAAAAACATGTTTGCGCGTTTTAAAAAATCCGAAAAAATATATGTGATAGAGTGTCTATCAGAGAATTCATAGTCAAATTTTTAAAGGGTGTATCGATATAGGGCCTGAGATATTAATTATTTAGTGAAGTCGCGTCGAGCTGAGTTAGCCGACTGAAACATACTCAGTGGTTTCTCAGTAAATTATTCTTTTTAGTTTTATGATTTGCAGGCTGAAAGAGTTTGTGGAAGTATTATCCCATAATGTATTTGAAATTTCTAGAAAAATGGTTATAACTCATAACTGGTAAATAAAAACGAAAGAAGAATAGTGCAAGAGAGAAGTATACATTTAGTGGTACATTGTCATGGGATCCTAAATTGGCGGGTTTCACATTGTTATATCATTTATGACCTTAATTTGTCAAAGAATCGATTGATTCCATTCAAGTCATTTTTTGTACCATTGAAGAACAGGCACTGGAAGAGCAAGCTTTGAAAATTCGATTTGAAAATTCTTCATCCATTGTGGGGACTCGACAATTTCATTGTTTTATACCGATTTCTAATACTCATAGTCTCAAATGTAAAATTCATTCCCTGGACGATGAATTCGAAATTCGAAACACGGTAAAATAACTTAAAAATGTCTGCCACTTGCTTATAGTGATAATAGTAGTAATGTAAATATATTGTAAAATATCTTCAAGTAAGAGTAATGTATATACATTGCGAAATATCGTAAAAATGCATGCCTCTGCGTTGAATTTACCTACAGCAATTTGGGTCTTTTTTCTTTTCAATAAATTATTATTGGTTCTCTGTACTTCTCATAATTTCAGATATAAAGAAAAAGAATGGAATCAAATGTAAATAATCACGAATTCACTTTATATAGATACTCGGAACATCCGCTCAATAGCGCAGACTTGCTAGCACGACTAGCTCAGCGCAGCGAGCTCACCACTGCACTTTATTTGCCGCGGCTTCACGAAATAATTAATATCTTAGGCCCTATATCGATACACCCTTCAAAAATTTGACTATGAATTCTCTGATAGACACTCTATCACATATATTTTTTTCGAATTTTTTAAAACGCGCAAACATGTTTTTTTATAAACTGTTTATATTGTTTATTAACAAACGTATTGTAAATTAGACTTTTTTGCATAAATAAATTTTTTATCTGAATCTATCACCCATCAGCAATAAAAAAGGGCTATATAATTTTTTCATCACGCTGTGTATACAGTGACATTTTACGCACGCTCCGCGTGCGCAAAACCCCACTCGCCTTCGGCTCGTGCTATAAACTTCCCACGAGCCCAAAAACACTTTCGCGTAATCGTATCGAAATATATTATTTCGACATAACCAATATTTTTCGAGTTATGATGTTATAGACAATTAGTCGCCCAGTGGCACCTTTAATTTTGCATTTTGAATATATTTTGAAAAAAAATTGAGGTATCCTTAATGCTTATCAAAATGGTTATCGGGGAAAATTGACACTAAAATCATGAGGAATAAATTTTGAAATTATTACCAGAAGCATCTGTGGCTTAAGGATATCGGAGCGAATAGTTTTGCAGTGGAAATCTAATCGCAAATTTTTTGGATATTTTAGGGAAAAAATAAAATTACAAAAAAAAAAGATGATGAACGTGCACGGAGAGAAATTTTTAGTAAAAATTATCGTGAAACCCAGGTCAAAATTACCCGGATGGAAGGGTAATTCTGTACTAGTGTATGTTTGGAGCAATAAATATCCTTGGTGTGGATAAATTTTAATGAATATTTCCGGATAATATTTGTTCTTATCTGAGTAAAAATTGCCAGTACGCGCGGATAAAAATTATTACATATCTTGGTAGTTTTTACAAATATCTGGATAAAAATTACTGTTCCAGAATGGTAAAAAATACTAACCTTACCTACAAATTTCTTTCACGCAGAGGTTAATACTCCAAAACATTCGAGTGTTACTGACAACAGAGCTCAAAGTGTTTTTACCACGAAACATTCTACTGGTAGAATTTATTGTTTGGAAGGGTAAAGAGTGTCGCGCGCATCTGGTTAGTTTTTGATGCGCACGATGGGTATAATTTAATAGAATTGAGTGAATAAAAATTATTCTATGAATTTTATCATAATTACCAGGATAACTATAATTTTTATCATTCACATAATACATATTTTTTGTCTTTGTCTATATACATGTTGACAAATGTATAGACAATTTTTGGTCCCTTCGGCGAAAATTACCATACGGAGGGGTAAAATTTATTTTACATATGATAAATTTTATTATTTAACATTAATTTTTGTCGAACTTCCGGATATAAATCAGACGAAAAATTTCAATAATACACGTTTATCCTTTTGGAAGGGTAATTTTTACCAAAAAATTTTCTCCGTGTGGTGAAAGTAATATTTCTAGTTCTTTTTTTCCATTTTTGCTATGAAAATGACATGTAACAGAAAAATGGCCATCACTTGTGGGAAATTCGTAAAATTTACCATTAAACATTTCGAAGTGGGAATCTCGTCCAAGATTATTTTTATACATAAATAATATACAAAACAGAAAAAAAACAATAGAAAATTTTGAGGCCGGATTTGTATACAGTATTTGGAGTAATGATTCAAATACTTTCGGGAATCAATGAATTTATCTTATATTCACAATCATCATTAATTGTTGGATGGCTTATCATAAATTTGATCGCTCTATGGTCCGTGTACTGTCGGAACTATGGAACAATGGAATTAAAAATGGAAAATTATGTGGATGCTGTTATCACTGTAGTACTGATCTGAACAAAAATCGCGGTTACAAAAAAATCGCTAATAATATAATTTACCCACCATATTGATTAATTCTGTAGAATGAGATGGGAAAAATGAAGGTAGTTTCACCTCCATATGATATTCATAGGTACCTGTAAGTCTCTCAATAGACATTGCATGTATGGACATATATATTTCAATCTCTGGATAAACTGTTGGAAACTGCTCGTGGAAAATTGTGTAGTCGAATGAGAAAAGGTTGTGACAAGTTAAAAAGAACAAAAGTGTCAGCTTCCACAGCAGCACGAACCAATTTTTTTCCCCTCCAGTAAGAAAAATCTGATCTTTCTTGGGGACTTCAGATGTGTGAGAATTCAAATCGATCCAGATGTGGGAATGAATATTTAATGGAAAAAATGAAAAAGTACCCAAAAATATCGGCGAAACAAATCGATCAATTTAAGCGAGAATTGCAGGTGTTGAATTTTTTAAAGGCACATTACATTCGCATACACATTTTTTTCAATATTTCTTTACCTTACTCAAATCCAGTGGATTATCACTCAAGTGTATAACAGCACCCGGATGCGTTTTCCTCGATCTGGAACATGGAAAGAGAAAAAAAAGTTGATAAAATTTTTAGAAAATAAATTACATTGGAGAGATATGTGACTCAATGTGTTTTCTCCAGATCCCCGAGGGAATCGTGCCACTGATAAGGGATGTAGAAAAAATCCCAGGCACTAACACATTTTCATATAGTCTCAACATTGTAGGTATGGAGGGACTACACAACAGTATTGTGGAGAAAAAATAAACAAAAAAAAAGTCTCCCTCGTTGACGCACTATGTACACCCCGCTGGCTGTGTGCAATCTGTAAAATTGCCCCGATTTGTTTTTTTTCCTCTATCTTTCTGCCCCTGAGGAAAAAGAGAAATGTACAAAAGATACAAAGGTTGAAGGGGGTGCAGAATGCCTTTTGCGTCAGTGGAAAATAATTAGCAAAGTACATTTTTGTTTGTATGATTCAGAATAAGAGGACTGGAGATGAAGATAAACGGTGAATAGGAATGATATAGTATTAATGAGTGAAAGGCGATACAAATTTAATTATGGGATTGAATGGAAATTGAGACGGTCCTCTTCGAAATCAACAATTAAATTTGGAGCGCCGAGGCTAATTGTAGAATTCCGTATCATAATCTGGGTATCGAGTCCATTTTCGGATGGATTATTCTGTTTTGAAGAAACAGAAACTTTTCAAGGAACAAAATGGATCGATTCTAAATGTGGTTACGGGTATCCAAATACATTTTACAATAAAACAAATCTGCCGCTCGATCAGAGTCACTTGATTTAATGAATCCGGCCTTTACATGTACGATAAAGAGCTCACGCGACATTAATTTGATAGCTGATTTCGATGATCCTGGGATGCATGGAGGTCTCCCAGGTCGCTATTCTGTTCTTCAAACGGGAATTTTTCGAAAATTATCATTTCTTCTAAAATTCAAGCTTTATTTTTCACCGGTTTGTCGTTTCGTCGACTTGCCACCGCAACACTCGCCCGAGGCCTTTCGTCGAAGAATGTTCAATGTGGAGTCAATTTTCCTGTTGAAAGGTCCGTGCAATAAACCGTTTGAAAATTGTGTTTTCCTTCAAAATTTTCTGCAATCATAATGTTACAAAGGATCTCAGTGTTCATTGAATGGTACGCTAGCATATTCTAGGTCCTTTGTCTGCACTTCGACCAATTACCCTCGAGGAATTCCTTTGAGTCTAGACTGTATCATGTACTTGCAGTGATGCCGAAGTTATCTTGATGATCATCGAATGAACAACCTATGCTGTAGATAATTTTTTCGCTATTCTACACGGAGAGAAATTTTTGATAAAAATTACCCTACCGTTCTATAAAAGTATATCATGAGTCATCGTTTCTTCATTTCTATCCCGAAATTTAATAAAAATTAATATATGATCAAATTTTATTCTACGTAAGAGAAATTTTATCCTGACGCATAATAAATTTTACCCTTCCAGTCCAGTAACTTTTATGTAGATAACAACGAAAATTCTAGAATGGTTGGTAAATTTTACTCTACTGGTACAGTAATTTTTATTCTACCGGTACGGTAATTTTTATTTTTATCAGGATAAAATTTCTCTAACGTGGAATAAAGTTTGATCATCATATATTAATTTTTACTAAATTTCGGGATAGAAATGAAGAAACGATGACTCATGATACACTTTTATAGAACGGTAGGGTAATTTTTATCAAAAATTTCTCTCCGTGTGTGGACACTTTTTCGGTGATTCTTATTACTTCAATACTCGTCGAGTTTATGGAGTAATGTCTGACTGAATATTATCTTTGCAATGAATATAGAATTTTTCACAGGTTGATATTCACTAGTTTGAATTTTGAATAACATTTGTAGAACGAAATCAGTGCTTTGGATCTTATATAAAAAAAAATTCAGTCTGGTCGTGAAAAGGGATGTCATATTACATTGTACTCTCTTGTACATGCGAATATCGTTCACATTACAAAAGAGTATTATCTTTTCGAGTGCCGCAAGATTTAGAAATGATAAAACAATGGGACATAGCCTTTAAAGAGAGAAACAAGGCTTTAAAGCTCGGTTAAGTTATGCGTGCAAAATATTTCCTCGCAATTAGACATTATCGCAGAGAAAAATACATTGGAGTCTGATAGAACAATATTTGGAGTAGTAGATTTGACATTTTTCAAACCAATCGATTGAATCCATCGATAGCCTGAGAATAAAATGAAGAGAATAGATCGAATATAATGAGTAAGATTCATCTGCATCCATTTGTACCACAGGACTGAGTATGAACACAATTTTTCGTTTTATTCACAAATCGAACATGTCTTTTTCTTAGTGTGTACTTTGTCCCACCACGAGTGTCGATTGCAGTATATGGTTTCCTGTCATAAATGTCCTACATATCAACTTTTTTCTGTTCAATGTTGTGCCAGAGATTAACCCATTGCGCCACCAAGCTCACGAAAAGTATCGGTGTGATGGTGGTGGGGGACTAACCAACGAGTACGCGCAACATGGCTGTGTGCGACTGCGGCCGAGTGTTGGTGCGTTGATGAGTTCCTCACCACACCGAGTGTCAGGCCCGTATCCACCTTTTCACTGCGACAGATGTATGGCTGTTTTTTGTGTTCCATAATTGTTTTTCCTTCAAAACTCATTTCTACTCTATTATTTATTTCTTTTGTGAATTGATTCGTGATCAAGAGTTATGTGAACAAACCAGGAAGTTGGAAATCTAGTTTTAAGGTTACGTTAGGTAAGCCTGTTGACACCGTTTGAGATTTCTGTCTTTCGTTTGCTTCTTCCAAATAGAAAATTGAATTACAAATCAACCAAATATCACAGTCAAACTCTCAAATTGTATATGTATTGGATATTGTATTTTTTTTATCATTCCGAGACATGGAAAACGGTTCAAACATTGATATTATATTCTTTCTCTCGCTCAGTTCATCTCTTCCCCTTTATTATTATCAAATTGATTCCCAATTATTCTTTATCTGATTATTGAATATTTCATATTTTTGTCCATTTGGAGATAGTCAAAACGCTGAAAACGTTAGCGTGGTTTTTTTCGCTTGTACGGTTGTTTTTTTCTCAAAATTATTAAATTATCATAATTTCAAATGATGGAAAAAAGAATAATTTCTATTTTTTTTCGCTCATAACCATTATATTAATTGTAAATTATTGTTCTGCAGTTGAGTTTAGTCATTCCATTCTTAGATTTTCCTACTGATTCATAGAAAAGAAATCACTTTTGTCAATTTCGTTTTGCAAAATTAAATTTTGATGATCCCAAATACTGAGGTAACGTATTTTTTTATTGTTGTATTCAGTGACTTTATTGTAAACTACAAAATACATGCAATAAAAAAAATTATAAAATTACGTTTTCCCGTTTTTTTCTCTCTCAACGCTAGCGCCTATGATTTTTGAACGGTACCGCACGTACGTGCCTGGGCGCACCATCCCCACCTCTGTCGCTCCGCGCGGAGCTATAGAGTGGGGACAGACGATGGTGGCGCAATGGGTTAAAAACAGTACGATCTATTTAATTAAAAATACTATATAAACTCAAGACGTTTGCCCGATTTTTATATACATGATCGATGGAAGATGATTCATTTTTCTTTTTTCCTTTTTTTCTCAATAATACTCTACACAGAGAGAAAAGGTTGAAAGGAGATTCTTGATTCTAGATACTCCTCTTCTTAAGGGGTAACAGAAGGCCGCTTATTTTTCAACGTTTTTGAACAACGTTTATTAAAAACCCTCCGAAATTAACTTCGGAGGCTGCCGAAAGTTATCGATATTTTTGAAAATCGAGGTACATTAATCTCCAGGAGATGATGATGAAGATCGATGTGCTTCGGTTTCGGCGAATATTAAGGATATCCAAGGACTTTCACACAGAAAACGCTGTGCCGATTATCTGCACACTTATGCGGATAATCTGCATAGTTATGCGGGATTCACACATAAGCCGAAGTCACTCTCTTATGTGTAAATCATGCATAAATAGTGCGTGAATCATGCATAGTTATGTGGATTATCCAGATTTGGCATGTTTTATAAATAAGGGTGAAATTTTGATGAGGATACGTCTATGTTTTCGTTATGAGGAGTCTTTTTGTGAAATTGAGCTTACAGGTCTAGATTTTTCTAGAAAATTCAAGGGACTTCAGGGAGTTTCTAGAAATTTTGAGAGAATTCAAGGAGTTCCTAGAAAATTCTAAAATGTTCAAGAAATTTTTAGAAAATTCAAGAAAATGCATGGAGTTTCTAGAAATTTCGAGGGAATTCAAGGAGTTTTGAGAAATTTCGAGGGAATCAAGAAATTTCTAGAAAATTCGAGGAAATTCAAATAGTTTCTAGAAATTTCGTTGGAATTCTAGGAGTTTCTAAAAATTCCGAGGGAATTGAGAAACTTCTACAAATTTCGAGGGAATTCAGGGATTCTTAGAAAATTTTAGGAAATGCAAGCAGTTTTTAGAAATTTCAAGAAAATTTAAGGAGTTTCTAGAAAATTCAAGGAAATGCAAGAAGATTCTAGAAATTTCGAGAAAAATCAGGGAGTTTCTGGAAATTTTAAGTGAATTCGAGGTGTTTCTAGAAACTCTGAAGAAATTCCCGGAATTGCTAAAAAAATTGAATAAAATTCTTAGGTGTTCTGGAAATTTGAATAAAATTTGAGTTTTCCAAAATAATCGAGGAATTTCTAAAGTTTTAAACAACATTCAGAAAAAAATTTTTTAAGGGGAGACCGCGGTGAAATTTGAAAGTCTCGACTCGGCCTCAACAGCCATTGGATGACTTTTGATATATGAAGGGATATATAAAAAAGTGAGAAAAATTTCGGACTCGAACCGTTTTGCCCCGTATATCCACCAAAAACGTCATTTTTCACGTTTTTAGCTTAAAAAGGCTCCTTGGACCACAGTTTTCATCCGATTACAACTTTTTTTTTTTAATGTTCGTTATACTCCAACGAAAAAACCCAAGTATCCGTTTTACTTTATA